ATACAGACATTAGAGATCTTAATGAAGTGATTGCATTACTTGAGAGGCATCACTATAACAAGGCATCATATCATCGACTTGGTCTATATCTTCTACTTTCTCATAACACACTGGGAAGCATTGAACAAGAATACAGAGGGCAAGTTGACCGTTGTCTTACAGAATGTTTGGCTGGCTGGTTGCGTAAAGCTGATGGCGTGGAAAATCCAACAATAAATACATTGATAGCTGCTCTTAAAGGAATAGGAGAGAATGCTGTAGCTGATGGTATTGATGAAGAAAGACAGAGTAAAAAACTATTTGATAAATTTTTATTTTAAAGTTCTTTAGGTGATCCAAGAAATGAAATATCAGATAGACCTCTTACCAGTGAAGGTCAGTGAGCCTGTGTGGATGATGCATGTAGCAGACACATACTCAGTGAAAACATAAGAAAACAAAATATGGACTCAATATAATAAGATTGAGGCTTTATTATGATGAATATATAAGATCATTGTTTTGCCATGTACTTTGCATTGATCATTATTTTTGCATGCCAGTTTTAAATACTGAAGTTCTTGACCTTTAATAGCCTTTTTTGAAGACAGCATTGCATATTAAAAAGCTCAAAAACTTTGTTCCAAGCACCATTTATTTGCCAAGGCCAATCCACTGCACATATCTCAATGAATATTGTTAACTAAATGGGACATCATGTTCTGGAATACAGAATAATGCAAAATTCTTTTTTTTAACAGGGCATGCAGTGCAGCTGGACATTGTCAATCCAGGTAAGGAGAGCTTCATTGTAACAGAATAGGTTATGTAAATGTGTAGGTGTGCGCAATCTCGAGCTCAAAATTGATCAAGTTTCAGAGCTTCAAGCAATTGCTAATAAATTGCAAGGAAAGTATGATTCTCTTGCTCTTGCTGTGAAAAAGTCACTTGAAAGTCATTGCATTGATGTGGAAGATGCGAAGTTTTTGATAAAGGAATGCTTAAGGAGAAAAGCACACGTTGTTTCTGGATTGATGTCCTGCATTAATATTCTTGAAAGGGTTATTGGTTATGAAAGCCTTTTTGATTTTCTTAGCAAACATGATTTCATTGGTTACATCAATTACAAGCTATTGAAGAAATTATCTGAATTAGTTAAAGAAGATGATGGGATTATTCGACTTTTTTTTGAATATGAAGAAGAATATGCCAAATTATTAAGTGCAGCTTCCT